AGTCGTATTAAAAATATGTTATGGCATGACACCCATATCTGTTACTTAAGTAAACAGGTTTTTATATATAGTTAATAGACTACATTATTAGGCTACTTTGACCATTGCCTACTATCAACTAGCATAATCTATAAAGGTGAGAATCGAGATATTTAATGATATAGTTAATGCATTTGTGAATGTTTCGAATAAAAAGGAAAAAATAAATAAAACATGAGTGCTATTTTGGCTGCTGTGTGTCACATGACGACCCCCCCCCAAAAATCTTGACCCCCAAAACCCATTTCTAGGTGTGTACTATGATCCCAACTGCAACAAGGATGACGTCAACCATGCAGTTCTAGCTGTTGGCTACGGAGCCACACCGAAAGTCAAAAAGTACTGGATTGTGAAGAACAGGTAAGGAAAATATGCTGGAAGCATTGTTAAAATACTAAATAAATTATTTAATTTAAATAAAAACATAATGATTAAAATGAACAATTAATGAAAATGTTAATGAATGTTAATTAAAAAAGTACATGTAAGTTAAAAAAAACATTAATAAATAAATAAATAAATAAATTTCCATGTTGTCATATTCAGCATGTAATAGTGTAAAATTCTCCTAATCCATTTGTTTTTTTGTTTCTGTTCTTGAAGTTGGGGTGAAGATTGGGGGAAGAAGGGGTACGTCCTGATGGCTCGTAACCGTAACAATGCATGTGGCATTGCCAGCCTGGCCAGTTTCCCTGTCATGTGAGAGCTGGAAGTAGGGAGCACACATGCGACCAAACTTGTCTGCTGCTGACCAATAACAAAAGGGACTCAATCAGTATCAGTGTGCTCAGAGGCGTCATGCCCATTCAAAGTGATTTTTAAGCCAAGTGGATTTTGAATGCAGCTTCCAAAAGACAAAAAATAGCCAAATAATATTTTCTATATTTGATACAATCACACCAGCATGATTAAATCGTTCAGCACGTCATATCAGCTTCTAAAATTCAAATCTGCGTTCGCTGGCTGGTGCTGAGCCAGAGACATACGCGTTTTTACAGCATAACCAATCACACACGATGCTGTTGAGCTTATGAATGCTGGCTGCTGTGTGTCACATGACGACCCCCCCAACTCATGCCCCCTCAAAAATAATGAGTGCATGACGCCCCTGAGTGTGCTCCAGCATTAAATAATGATTGAGGAAACACTCTCTAAAAGATGCAGTTGATTTGAATACCACAAGGTTAAGTGTATTTTCCTCTTGGGTCTTAGATGTCTCGTTCTTAATCCTATCAATTTGTGCAGTTGAAACTGTTTTGTGCAATATTTGAAATTCATAAGGGAAATGTTGATATTGTGTATACAGTCTGAGTCTGTTAAACATTTTTTTTATTCCCTTGGTGGGATCTGATCTTTGAAACACTTGTTTTATGATGTTTTGATTATATAGATTACCAAGGTTTTTTTTGTGGCAATATTAAATAAAATGTTTAATTTTGAGTACATCATATTTGTGTAAAAGTATCTTAATATAATTTTCATAAATGTTTTACTTAAGTGAGGCTCAATCATATGTTTATCACACTAACACAGTTAGTACAAGTCAATATCACACCTCTGTACAGAAACATTATATATAATAAATGACATTCAGAGAATAAAATATCAATGCCAAACCACCTTTATTTCAACTTGTCCTTAAACCATGGTATCTGTACGACGTACCGGTGGGTATGAAGACTTAGTTTTAGTTGTGTTGAGGTGGAAGAGAAAGCATCAGAGCCTTTATTTTGGGAAGCTGAAACCAAGAGAAGTCAAAAAAAGAAACAACATACTGAACTAAAAACTGGGCTGGGCTGTTTAAACAAAAGTCATGACAGTTATGTGTTCAGTGGTATGAAATCATATGACCATAACTGAACCACTTCCCCATTCCCCAGATGAATGACCCAGCTTTACCCTTTTTTTCTTGTATCTTGTACCCATATCTTCACATTCAATAACTGCCAATTAAAATCTCTGAACTTTGACTTCAAAATTGCACTCACAAACAAACAAACAACTTTACCTTCTTGTAATTGCAAATTTATGTCTTACAAATGCAAATGTCAAGTGCTGATAAAAATTGAACTGATTTGTTATATATTTTATTACATTTGTGATGTACAAATAACAAGAAAGTACACTGCAAATGTAAACATATGTAAAAAGAAACAAAGTAGTAATTGTGAGAAATAATTACAAAATGACACAATTACAAAATTGAAGATGATGAATAGAAACTTCAGCAATGCATTCATTAGCCACTATTAGTGCTAAAAGGATGCCTGGTACAAATTACATAAAAAAAATATATATATTTCACATTTATTTTATTTCACATTTTTCCAACAGTAATTCAGTCACAGTTAAGTATACAATTTCACATGTGCTGTGCCAGTGCCTCATTTTTGAGTGTCAGGCCTCTAGGCTTCTTTGCTCGAGACTTCTGGATGTCAGAGGCATTAATTGACATTTATCGATTAAATAAGAATTTATTTCAGAAAGCTTTGCATGGTGTGAAATGTAACATGACTATTTTAAATGGTCAGTGCTGAACACCACTTTCGGTTCTGCATGTTTGTTTGTGTACTTTCTGAATGATTGAAAGCTGTAGGCCAATAAATGTTCCACAGAGCTTTTGTTCCAAAATATAACCACAGACCACATCAGTGTGACATGAACTGATGGATGTTCTGGAAACAGCATATTCAGAATCCACAAAATTCTCTTTTCTGAGAGACAAAAGATAATTATCATTTATCACTCAGCATGACCTGTAAGTTCTAATATTAACTAGGAATTCCCCTAATCGGCACACATTTAATCATTTTAAATGCAGCTATATTATTTCAGTCAAAATCAGCACCAGGTCAGCACAAATATTTGTCAAATCATGATGATGACTCATTTTATAAGTGAACAGCAAATGCTTCATGAATGGAAAAAATTAGGTCATGCTACCAATTGTTCCAGTTCCGCAGTGGTTACATGGCCTTTATAACTTTTGCCCAGTGGTAAGAAATGTAATTCTAAGCACAACATGTTCATTTAGGACCTAAACCTTGTGGCATATACACTCTCAAAGCCAGATACCAGGCCAGCAGGTGTTTTATATGTCATGTGCTTGCGTGCTTGAGTAGTGTTTAACCACATGATTTCCTCTCTTTCTGTTTCCTGTATACTTTCACATATCATGTAAAAAAATTGTAATTATGGGTGTAGGTCTCAACTACCACATTGTTATCAAGTATTATATATTTTTGTCTAAAATGTATAATATGTAGTCTAAAATGAAAAATAGTTACTGTGTATCGCTTGAGGAATATCTTCCTCCGGTGTTTAATATAAGTTCCGCTAGATGGCGACCCAAACACAAGATATGAGAAAGGACGTAGACAAGCAACGTTCTTGTTTCCGATCCGTGTGAAACTCAGAACCTAGTGCCTAGACAGCTTATTGAAATGGAGGTGTATTTCCACTAAATTATGTTTTATTAACAAGGTTCGGGAGGAGCGCGTCAGATACTTGGCCTAATTAACACAGGCGAAGCGCACTCAAGTTAATCAACACCATGTTATAAATACAGCTGACTTATAAATACATCCTCTTTTTTTATCGAACAATATCAATTTACAAAACTAGGCTATAATTAATCAAAGCCTCGCACACATTTTTAGGTTACTGCAATTTGCCATGTATCTTACTATTGCATATAATTATTTTTAATATTAATAATAGTATATTTATTTTTATATTTTATCATTTGATTAATTGACATATTTAATAATAAATACTTATATTCTTGAACTATTGTATTAATCAGAACATTACATGGTATGATTTTATTACATTAATTAGCCTACATTTTAGTTTTTAATTAAATGTTTATATTTGATTACATTAAATATAGGCTAAATATTTTTTTCAAAGACATCTGTGCCATATCACAATCAGCAGAGATTAGCACGTGATGGAACAAAATAAAAGCAGGAACCAGGAACCTAAGACGTTCATCATCATCATCTCCTCTACAGACCACCAGAAGTGCAGCTTAAAAAGAGTGCACAGGTGAGACGAGACGAGACACGTTTTTGTTTTGTTGTTGTTCACTTTTATGTGTTTAATCTTTTGTCTTCTATGTCGGGTTTTCCTCCCCAAAAGTTTCTCTTTCGGTTTTAATTAAGGTGGTGACTGGTTTTATGAGAACATTTCCTCAAAGCGATTTAAAATGTTTCCAGTGTTTTATTACTTGTCTGTAGTAACTTTGGGTTTAAAGTGGGGGAAAAAAAAAAAAAAAAAAACTTTTGTCGTGTGTATGTATCGTGGAAAGAAGGATCCGGTGAAGTCGATCACACACCAGTGTTAGTTTAATTTCCGTTTCTTCCTTATTATGGCCAGTGTGTTCTCTTGTTTGGTTTGAGTGGTCAGCCTTTGAAATTGCCATTTTGCCTCATTAATCTATCTGGTTAAAACTCATTTTTACCGTTTTTAGGATTAAAATTGGGCTTGTAAAACTACCCGAGATATAATGGCCTACTTCATGCCATGATACAGGAAGAATCAGGCAATTGCTCTGGTTTACATAAGTACAGCGCATTTTGGGGAGTCTGTAAATACTTAATGTCTGGATTTAAGAAGTCTTATCACTTATTGGATTTCCTCAACCAGTTTTACAACATTTGGATTTGAACATTTTTAACTTCCTTTTTGGTCTACTTCTGTTCCTTAATTTTACTCAGAATTTGTTTCCTTTTATAGAAAAATCAGACTTACCATGTGGTTCATTCAATAAATATGAACATTTATTAAAAAAAAAAAAAAACTATAGATTGGTACAGAAGGAAATGCGTTCATACTTTGGCTGATTTAGTTGTGATGTTTAGGCCAGCTGTGAACATAATGCAATGAGAATAAATTGGCAGACAAAATACTGATGTTTGAATACATGATGTCAGTAACTGACGGGTGTTTTGCTCTTGTCAGGCCATGATGCTCGGGAGCTTGCTGTTTGCCGTGTGTTGTAGTGCAGCACTGGCCCATTTCAACACCAATCTAGACCAGCACTGGGAGTTGTGGAAGAAGACACATAACAAGTTTTACTCCAGTAAGGTGAGACTGAATTTCACAAGCCTCTTTAAGATCCAAAAGCTAATCTTTCATGTACTTAAGGATTCATTTTCATAATGCTGTTTTGATTGTGTTTTTGTGATGCTAGAATGGTTTCATTATAGTTTGAAGTGGTGTTGATGCTGTCCATGTATTGAAATGTCTGTCTTTGCGCTTGAAGTATTTACAAAGGATATCCGTAATAAATGCAGTGATGGCAGTCTCACAACAACATGTCACATGTGTGATCCCTATAATGTGACTGTTGTTTGTTGCAGGTTGAAGAAATGGGCAGGAGGGAGTTGTGGGAGAGAAACATTCAACTTATCATCCTTCACAACCTGGAGGCCTCCATGGGCCTGCATTCATATGACCTGGGCATGAACCACATGGGTGACATGGTGTGTGTGGTTTTTCGTTCATGGTTATCTGCATGCAGTAGCTTCCAGTTTGCACAAGTTCCAGTTTTGCTTCTGGCATGCAATGCTGCTTTATTTTCATAGTTCTCTGGTACGCCCTTTAATTAGTCTATTTTCAACAAGCTCTGTAGCATAGACCATTTCACCTACAGTCACCAACATTTATACACGCATAGATCATATTAGCCTGAACAACTGTGCTGACAGTAAGTGCTCTGCCCAACAGGAACTAAGCTATTTTGGGTTATTTTAAAAACGCATGATCTGAAATTTTATATACACATCCTGGGTTTTTCATGCAATTACCACCAAACTCGGTCAACATTATCTCAGGACATTGAGAATGAGAGATGAAGGCTGTAATACTAAGGTTGTCCACTGGTCATAGAAAAAGGATTATGCTTCAAAGATTTATCCTGTTTCTATCAATCATAATGGCAAATACATGGCATCAGTTGATGATCTGTACTCTACTGTCAATATAGTTTTATATAATTGTTTTTAATGATCTATAAGCATTATTATAGATCATTAAAAGTTTTGTATATCATTCCTTTTGTGTGTTTGTTTCGCACTCTTGATGTTCTAGAGTAATCCTTTCGTTGCTGTAACACTAACAACCAGACTGTAAGAGGGTTAAGTACTCGTGCCCACTTTGCACTGTTCTTCTGAAGCCACTGGGGTTTTGGCCCGTCATTGCTACTTGCGGCTATATTTTTAATTTTCTTTACTAAAAACATTTAGCTTTTTATTTGATACATTTTATAATTGGTATCTATAAATTTATGCAGCTATAACGTAACTTCATCCTGACCTTATTTTCCTATTTGTGTCACGTTGATTCACAGACTACAGAGGAGATCCTGCAATCATTCGCCATGACTCGTGTCCCTCCTAACTATAAGAGGCAAACAGCGACTTTTGTGAGCTCTTCTGGGGCTCCTGTTCCAGACTCTCTAGACTGGAGAGAGAAGGGATATGTCTCCAGTGTGAAGATGCAGGTGTGAATGTACTCTGTTTGACACTATGCTAACTTGTATCCACTTAGCTGTTTACCAAAGTAAAATGGCTTGGTTGTTTCAGATGTTGCCCTTGTGAATTGACCACATTCTCTGTCAGAAAACGTGGCTTTTTTTTTTTTTTTTTTTTTTAATTTCACTTCCTTCATTTTGTTTGTCCAGTCAGTGTTTGAGGGAGTTTACTTCCCCTTTCCTGTAACTTCCTCTGATTTGGAAATTCAGAAACCAGCAACTAAAATCTGATTGGTCAAAATGCTGTTTCTGCAGCTTCACAAGCTATTAAGTTCTTGTGTATCCTGTTTTAGTAGTTTTATCATACTTCTCTCTCTGCTGTCAGGGTGCATGTGGTTCGTGTTGGGCGTTCAGCTCTGTTGGGGCTCTTGAAGGTCAGCTGATGAAGGCCACAGGAAAGCTGGTCGACCTCAGTCCTCAGAATCTGGTGGACTGTTCCTCCAGTTACGGCAACAAGGGCTGCAATGGCGGTTTTATGAGTTCTGCCTTCCAGTATGTTATTGATAATGGAGGAATAGACTCTGAGTCATCTTACCCTTATGAAGGAGTGGTAAGTTGTGTGTGAGGGTCTGTGTGAATAAAACTTGCACGTCAAGTAATTACATGGGGAAATTAAGCGCACAATTATTTGGCGTCATATTAGAAGTGACCAGGCCTGTTACCACAAAATCTGGGCCATACCAATTTAGAGCATTTTCTCTACGTTGCTAAATGTAAATTTATTTTTTTCCCTCAAAACTGTAATCCATTATAATTATGGGTCTAATGCATAATCTAATAAATAAATGTGTCATGCAGCAAGGGCAGTGCAGATACAATCCATCCCAGCATGCCGCAAACTGCACCAAGTACCATTTCGTTCGTCAGGGAGATGAGGAGGCCCTGAAGCAGGCTTTGGCCAATGTCGGGCCCATTTCAGTGGCCATTGATGCCACCCGCCCTCAGTTTATCTTGTATCACAGTGGTGAGCATTTCTTTCATGTTGCGTTTCTATCAGACTGATTACCAGATCTCAAATGTTTGTAATAAGGGCTTGTAAGTGCTTTTTTTTTTTTTTTTTTTAAATACCGTTCTCACATCTGTCAACCACAGGAGTTTACAATGACCCAACCTGTACAAAAAGGGTAAACCATGCAGTGCTGGCTGTGGGATACGGTGCGATTGCTGGACAGGACTTTTGGCTGGTCAAAAACAGGTACAATCAGAACAATTGTTAAGATTTGTGATCATAAATTGACTTGGTATGATTTTGATTTTTGAAGTGTACCCCCCTCAAAGGTTTGTAAAAGCAGAACTTCTGTGACGAACAAAACATCGAGGTGACAAAACAAATGCTGATGGTTTTGTTCTACTTTAACAGTTGGGGTACCCATTTTGGAGATGGTGGCTACATCCGTATAGCCAGAAACCAGAACAACATGTGTGGCATCGCCTCGTATGCCTGCTTTCCAGTTATGTAACTGCAACACTGAGTTGTATGGACATTTCAAAATAAGAAATTCACTGTTTTATGGTCTAATTTCTTTAATGTAAATGCATGTTCTGTGGTTTTACATTTTGTTATCTTTTAAAAATGTCTAAATGTGTTTTTATGAATCTTACAAAATAAATATTAATTTTTAAATCTGTTTGGTTTGAAACTTAAGAGGAAATGTATGCTATTTAGGTATGTTTGCAAAAATAACTAAGGTAACATGAGGGGTAACTGTGTCTACATTTTTGCATAAATGTGGACAATGCCATCCACCTACCTCGTCCCACCAGAAGAGAAGCCACCGTGTCATGGTAGGACGACGCAAAAGTATCGCACACTGGAAGCCTGTATTCACAAGCTCAAGTTCAAAGCGGCATTCCAAAATGGTCTATAAAAATAGTCACCATAACACGCATAATATATATATTTTTTTTTTTGTGTATGTGATTTCAAAATATTATATGGAAACATGTTATCCCCTTTTTCTGTAAATCTTAAAAAAAAAAAATTACCCAAATCAAAAGATTTAAAGAAATTCGATTTTAGTAAAGACAGTGGAGCTAATGAGACACATTTTCTGATCCACAGCCTATCATGGTCACATCTGTAAAGGGAGAAAGATGTTCACCTTTGCAGAATGAGATTTTAGAGTAGGTAGTGAATTCCGATTGGCTGGTTTGATCCAACAATAATAATTTGGTTATTTTCAGTTTATTTATTTACTCATGTGACAGGGCAAAGCGACAAGACAGTTGTGTCATATGACAATATGCAGAGATTAGCACGTGATGGAACAAAATAAAAAAGCAAAGCAACCAGGAAATCGTTCATTATCGCTTCTACAGACGGCCAGAACTGCAGCTTCACGAGAGTGCACAGGTGAGAATAGACACATGAGGTTTTCTTTTTCTTTCCCCACATATATGTATTTAGTCTTTTTAATGAAAGTCTAGGTTTCCTCTCAAAAAGTTTCTCTTTCGGTTTAAATTAAGGTGGTGACCGCTTTTATGAGAACTTGTTCTCAAAGAGATTTGAAATGTTTTCAATTTGAGACGTTACATTTTTTTTTCCATTTTGACGTTTTTTTTGGTCTTGATATTTTCCCTAAAAAAAGTCTCTTTCTGTTTTAATGACTTTTTTTTTTTTTTTTTTAAGAGATTTGCAGTGATCGTACAGTGTGTATTGTCCAAAGCCCATGATTTTCTGAAGATTCACTCATGCTATAACATCAGATAGCCAACGTAGATTTTAATATAGATTCTTGCACTTTCTTCAATTTGCACTTTTCCAGTTTGTTTGCTTTTCGAAGCACAAATGCGTTCTGTGTGAACTGCTCGTTCGTTCAGCTCACTGCAGTTTTAAAGTCCTTGCTGTTTTGTTTAAAGTACCTGTTTTGTCCAGCTGGTGGGAGATGGGAGATATACAGTAGGCCTAGTCTAGTTAGTATGTGCGTGTATGTATTGTTTCAGAAGTCTCACACTGAAATAATCTCTTCATATTGTGACTGATGATTATCAGCCATCTGTCAACATAATGCAATGAGAATATATTAGAAAATAGTACTGATGTTTGAATGTGTGTCAGTAACTCTGACGGGCGTTTTGCTCTTGTCAGGCCATGATGCTCGGGAGCTTGCTGTTTGCCGTGTGTTGTAGCGCAGCACTGGCCCATTTCAACACAAATCTAGACCAGCACTGGGAGTTGTGGAAGAAGACACATAAGTTTTACTACTCCAGTAAGGTAAGAATATGAATTTCACAAGCATCTGTCAGATGATCCAAATCTGATCCTTTAGTCACATCTAGAATCTTTTCCCCCTCCAACTTGTTCAGTGAAGAATACAAACTCTTCCTTGATTCATGTCAAACTGGTAATGCTTGTTTCATGGGCTTATTTAAGAATTAATTTGTATTAATTTTAGACTTAAATATTTTTGTAATGCTTGGACAAGAGAGATGAGGCGGATCCAATTGCAGAGAAGGTGTATTTACTGAATAAAATTAAATCAAACATGGGTAAACCAGGAACACGAACAGTAGCAGAGCAGGAAACAGAACACGAGCATCTACCACAAACAAAGACAAATGACCTAGGACACAGATATATACAGAGGAGGATAACAAGGTAACCAGACACACCAGGAAATGCAATCAAGGGAACCAATGAAACATAAGGACTACAAGTTGACTACAACATAAGTACAACTAAAAACAGGAAGTAACATAAAAGTTTTAACAATATTATACAGAATGCAACACAGGGCATTAAGAATTAGTAATGAAAACTATTCCAATGAATGCACTATTGGTGGAATGCAATGAAATGCCATTAGATTGAAGACATACTAAACTACCTCTTTCTTATTGGTTACGACTGGAAGATGAGATAAACATTGTGATTACAAATTCTTGGGAATATGAAAAACATATAAGCAAAGGTTTTGGATGGAATATATGCATGTATAAGAAAGTTGAAGAATATGGAATAAATACATTTAAATTTATTTCAGCATATATCATAAGTATAATTCCACCATGGATATTCCCAGAACCTAACGTTGATTTGGATATGATTGAAAAGAAAAAGGAATGGTTAGAGAATGGAAATTACAATACTTGTACACTGAAAGAAAATGATACTAAATTTTTTTTAAGGTAAGTGGTTGCAAATAATTTATTTTAGCTACATTTAAATAAATTTTTTTTTGAAAGTTAGTCAACTAAATTTGTTTATTTAAATGTAGCTAAAATAAATTGATTGCATCCCCTTACCTTAAAAAAATTTAGTAAATTCAATTAATCATTTTTTTTTCAGTGTAGGTTGGTACGATGCATAAATAAAAACTGTTATGAATATTTACAGTTTACAGTGGGTGGAGGAAGCCAAACCAGACAGAGTTTTATTCAGACTCAGCAGCAGCATTACAGAATATGAATACCAACAAAACAACTAGAGATTACATTTGAATAGAAATATACACAGCACCACTAAACCTAAATAATTATGAATAGATGTTCAATTCTGTTGGATACCAGCACATATAGGAGTTCAAGGGGAAAAAATAGCTGACAAATTAGCGAAAAAGCATTAAATCTTAATGACAAAATAGATATTTCCCTTTGAAAAATGGAGGGAAACATTAATTAAAAGCAACATTGATAATCAATGGCAAAAGATTTGGGACTCAGATAATAAAGGAAAAAGAATTACAGCATTCAAAAAGTAAAGTTAAAACTATAAAAATAGAACAGTTTCTAGAACAGAAACAAGAATTCAGTTATACAAGACTACGGTTAGGACACACAAGACTTAATAATATATTATTTCTTATGAGTAAAGTGAACACAGATGAATGTGAGATTTGTAAATGCAAAGAAAATGTTGAGCATGGTCTATTAAACTGTCATCAAATTAGAAAGAAAATGGGATATTAAAGGTATTTTAGGTATAGATCATTCTTAAGTGGAAGCTGTTAAGGCATTAATTAATATTTTGCATGAAACTGGTCTTATTAGAAGAATTTAAGATGAGATCATTGAAGCCATGATTTTACACACTTCAATATAGTAGGTGACAGAATGCACCTTTAATGTTGGTCTGTAACTTGCCATAAAACTAACAAAACACAGATCAGGGATCGTGACCAGAGGCCTGTTTCATAAAACAAGTTTACCAAATAAGCCAGGCTTATTTCAGTTAGTCTGACTCATTGTGATTTAACATTACATTACATTACATTTAGTCATTTAGCAGACACTTTTATCCAAAGCGATTTACAAATGAGGACAATGGAAGCAATCAAAATCAACAAAAGAGCAATGATATGCAAGTGCTATAACAAGTCTCAGTTAGCTTAACGCAGTACACGTAGCAAGGGTTTTTTAAATAATATAATAAATAAAAAGAAAACCGATAGAATAGAAAAAGAATAGAGCAAGCTGGTGTTAGATGTATTTTTTGCTTTTGTAATAAATTAAATAAATTAAAAGAAAACAGATAGAATACAAAAAGATTAGAAAGCAAGTGTTAGTTTTTTTTTTTTTTTTTAAGAAAACAAGCAGCAAATGCCCTTCCGGGAGGGGGCGAAATGTCAGACTTTTGGACCTGTTTTGCACATCCCCAAGGTAGTCCTTCTTGTGTTTTGCCTTATTTGGTCATGTTCCTGTCCTCGTTTAGTTTGATTATGTTCCATTGATGTCACCTGTGTTCCCCTGATTGCCCTGTGTTTAAAAGTCCTAGTCTGTGCAGTCTGTCTCTGTCAGGTCTACTTGTTTCTACGTGTGTTTGCCCAACTCCTATTGTGGATTATCTCCTGAGTTTCCTTGATTAAAGACCGTTCTCATTTACTCGTGCCTCCTGCGTGCTTCCTCAACAGCGTAACGTAGTGATGGGAGAAATGAAGCTTTTCGAAGCATTGAATCAATTGAACCAATTGCTTCGAAAAATGATTCAATGTTTCGAAGCACTTGAAACCGCACATACTGGCGACCACCTGCTGGTGAAAATGTTGTAAAACATCGAAAACTCAGACCAACTTACAAAACAAACGGAAATGTGTTTTTTTTAGAAATACCATTTTTAATAAACACTTAAATACTATTAAATATTGGTGCTTGTTTTATGTGTTTTAAGTATATAAAACCCTTAACACACAATGAACTAAATTAATTATTTAATGAACTAATTGATTTATGTAATTATTTAATTAAGTGTTTTCATTAGAGCGGTCAATAAAAACCAGCAGGCAAGAGTAGTGTTATCAGTCAGGAGAAGGAGGTGGTTTTAATTCTATCGTAAGTTCATTTTGTAATTTTTAAGGCATAATGTGATTTGTAGGTTGAAAGTACTGCATGTTTTTACAAATTTTTTTTAAAACTATATAGCCATCTGTGTTAAAGGGAAGTTATCTTTTGTTTAACTCACAACATCTGGCCCTGAATTCTTTATTTTTATAGTAAAATTTCGCGGGATTTCATGTCACATGATTATCTGGGCAACCAGAAGTGGTTCATGGGTTCACTTTGAGATCAACACCCCCTAGTGGTGAACCATCGGAGTTTCGAAACGTTTCGAAACAGTATGACGTAATGAAGCTTCATTTGCTAAAATCATGTGACCTGGCCGGTTTGATACGCGCTCCGAAACACTGATTTGAAACAAAAGATTTACAAATGTTTAGAAGCTTCATGAAGCAGTGTTTTGAACGCGCCCAAGGACCATACGAGACTATTCCAGCTGCTAGCAAGCACCACCAGCTACCCGGACGACGGGCTCTGCTCATTCTATGACGCAAGCTTGAACACCGCGAGCGCCATCGTCCGAAGATGGTCCTCGAGAGGATTTCGTCGCCTTCGTGGAGTGGACTCTGGCGAGAAACGGGT